GGGGATGGCCCGGCGGGGAGGCGCGCTGCCAGGCTCCTAACCGTTTCCATCCCCCCTTCCACTTCAGCGTTCCCCCGGCGGAGCCCGCCCCGCGGCCCACGGTGTGGTGTCAGGTAAGCTGCCCGGCGGGGAAGGAGCTGAGGGGGTGGGTTGTGGTGGTGTTGGTGGACAGCCGGCTGGTTGTGAGCCAGCAGTGTGCCCAGCTGGCCAAGAAGGCCACCAGCATCCTGGCTTGTATCAGGAACAGTGTGGCCAGCGGGACCGGGGCAGTGATGGTCCCCCTGGACTCGGCGCTGGTGAGGCCCCACCTCGACTGCTGTGTTCGGTTTTGGGGTCCCTCAGGACAAAAAGGATGTTGAGGTTGCTGGAGGGTGTCCAGAGAAGGGCAACGAAGGTGGTGAGGGGTCTGGAGCACAAGGAGAAGGGTCTGGAGAACTTTTGAGGAGCAGCTGAGGGCCCTGAGGGTGTTCAGCCTGGAGAAGAGGGGGCTGAGGGGAGACCTTCTCACTCTCTACAGCTCCCTGAAAGGAGGGGGTAGCGAGGAGGGGGTCGGTCTCTTCTCCCAAGTAACAGGCGATAGGATATGAGGAAACGGCCTCAAGTTGTGCCAGGGGAGGTTTAGGATGGATATTAGGGAAAATTTCTTCACTGAAAGGGTTGTCGAGTCCTGGACCAGGCTGCCCAGGGAAGCGGTGGAGTCGTCATTCCTGGAGGGATTTAGAAGCCGGGCGGACACGGTGCTGAGGGTCGTGGTTTAGTGGTGGATTTGGCAGTGTTAAGTTGATGGTTGGACTCGATGATCTTAAAGGTCTCTTCCAACCTAGATGATTCTGTGATGCTAAGGGGGTCGGTGGGGCTGGGAGCACTGGGCAGTGCTGAGCATCTCCCCCTTCCCCCGTGGCACCAGCCCGGGAGAAGGATCTCCGTGCTGGAAAGGAAAACCGGAGGCACCGGCAGGCTTGGGGGGCTGTGAAGCGGTGATCCAGCCATGGCACCTCAGTGCTGCTGCTTCGAGGTAGTGTTATGGTTTGAAGAATCTGCAACGATTTATTGTGGTGAAGAGAATTATTCTGTCAATCAGCTGATGACCCGTCCCCACCCGGGAAGGGGATTGGGAAAAACAAGGACACCCGAGGGGTGAAATATAAACAGATTTAATAGAATAAGACTGAATAATTAATAATAATAACTCTAAAGAACCAATATTGATCCTGATGCCAATATAAAATATAGGAGGATTATGCTCAGCCTGTTCTATCCATAGAAGCCGTGCACTCCCAGCAGTGACAGCAAATGTGGGACACTGCCAGCGCTGCGGCTTTTGGAGGAAGGGAAGGGCTCAGGCACCGGGGTGAGGAGTTCTCAGGATGGCAGCCATCAAGGGAGAGAGAGAAACTCCTCAGCAAACTTTCTAATTTATATTGACTGTGCCGTTCATGGTGTGAAATAACCCTGTTGGCAGCTTGGGTCAAGTGCCCGGGTCTTGCTCCTCCTCGTCCCCGCACCTGGCAAGCACGGAAACACTCAGAGCTTGAAACCCACATCCCAGAGCTGGCCATAAAGTCAATATTTTCACAAATTTAGACACCAGAGTCTTCTAAAAATGCATTTTTTTCGCAAGCATTAGAAGAGACCTTACTGAAGAGTAAAATTATGGAAAGGGAAATGAATCCTGTATCGCTCAAACCAGGACAGGTAGAAAGTGAAGCGCAAAGAACAGGTTCAGTGCTTTTGACTCCCTGGGAAGGACCCTTTCCTCTCTTTTTTCCCTGCCAACATACTGATTGCATTCTGTTTTTCTCAGAATCTGACCCTGGAGAGAAAAAAGCGGATCCTGAGCAATTCCTAACGCCACCTGACAGAACTGCTGTTAGCAAGAAGAATGTTAGTCCCCATGAGACGACCGGAGCGGCTGTGAGGAAAAGATCCCACCAAAGTCCCAGCCTCAGGAAAAGGCCGCTGGGAGCCAGCCCCGAGAGGCTGTCTCCCTGGAAGAGCAGTCCCAGGAAAGACCAGACGTCGAGTTCTTTTAACTTGTGCCCGAGACAGCTCGTCACCAGTCCTCAAGCCAAACGTCGCTCTTGGTGTCGTTCGAGCCTGAAGGGGACAAAGCGCCGAAAATCTCTGCCTCCTGTTCACCAAGATGTCACTGGTACCTGCTCCGCTCCCTTTACCGAGCTCTCCAGAAACTTGCAGGGCAGCCTGCAGCAAGTTGAAATTTAATTTCATGGCATGATTTGTAGGGTGATTACAGCATAACTGTGTTATTCCGGACCCGTAGCTGCTGACGTCCGTGTTGGCAGGGGTCTCGGAGGTCCGGGTACCTGAGGATAAAAGGAAGTGCTGCATTAATGGCTTCTGTCAACCAGTGGTTTGCAGTCTCTGCCTTTTTACTTCCGTGGTGGAGCCTTAAGTGTGACTCTTCCACGTTAGGAACTCTGTTTCTCCCTCTTTTTCTTGCTCCTTCTGTATCCTGCAAACCAGGACAAAACCGCGCTCCTATACAACAGCAGCTTTTAATGCCTTTCAGGAACATTTCAGCCGTTTGTACCTTGCTGTGAATTTAATTGTTCTGAAACTATTTTGTTCTGATTTTTCAGAATTAAGCAAATCCATTAGCCTGGATCTGCCAGAGATAGACCGGCTTTCCACGCTGTTGTTGTCCAGTTTCCAGGTAAGATCCTCTCTTTTAAAAGTGAATTATTTTTCTCTAGATTTTCTTTTGCCACTAATGGTATGTTCTGATATCGAGTTGTGAAATATGAGTTGGGGGAGGAGGGACTCCTTTCTCCTTCGGTAACGAGTCCTCCCACAAGCTTTGTCGTACAACTTGGGAAGGGGCGCTAAGACCTTCTTTTCCATTTTCCCTTAGTTTTCTGCGCAGAAGTTGGAACGCGTCCTGAAGCAAACTGATGGCTTTAGCCCTGAGGCTTTTGAAGCTAATGGTAAGGTGTGATACGTGTGTCGGCAAGGATAATCCGGAACTTAAAACTACTGACCCTTCCCTGGGCTCCTCTCAAATTAAAACCCAGTAGAAGCGGGGGGTGGGTGGGGGTGGGGAGCAGCCAAAAATGTGTGAAATGTGTTTTTTAAGACGCTGTGCGTGACCACAGCTTCTTGGGGGGAAGACAAATGGACACACTAAAGTAAATGGTGATCACAGAAATGAGTTATTCCTTCAGCAAACGGTATCAGAAGTAACTAGAATGTCTCTGACAAGTAATCAGAGCAGGATGTGCCGGTTAGGAAACAGCTTGGTTTCTCAGTATTCATATTTTAATAGGCAGTGGGTATGAGCGTTGTTTTATCCTGCTTTATTTTGTCTTCACCCCAGTGCGCTCGGTTTCAGAGGACCTGAAGCGATACCTGCAGAAGCTGAAACGAGATGGAACACTGAAGAGCTGCGTAGAAGACCCTAAAGGGTAAGGGCTCGCTGAACTCATCCCCTGCGGAGCGTAAGCAGCGAGTTGTGTCGCTTTTGGGGGAGAAAGGAGAGAAGCTGAGCACAAAATGTGTCTGTTACCAGCTACGCCCTCTGCCGTACATGTGTGAAATGTATAGATCTCCCTATATCGCGCTGATGTCCTATCTTTGCTTTAGGACTTTACTGGACTCAGCGTTGGATGAGTCGGTGGCCCAAATTAAGGAGTACATTGCCAGGTGAGATCGACTCAAACACCAATATGGGTTTGGACGCCTCTTCTGAGAGCGGATTTTGGGTGTTTTTAATTCTTAAGCTGTTCTTCCTGCGGGCCCACGCTGCAGTTGAGCTTTACTGAGGGAACGCCCGGGTACAGCCCCGCTCTCTCCTCTCGCTCCACAGGTTCACTGCCGAATGTCAGTCGTGGGATCAGCTTTTACTGCGCTACCAGGAGAGCGCTGACGAAATATCCAGGTGGGGATTGTTAACCCCTCTCTCACTGCGGCGTTTGGCGTTGGAAAAGCAAAGCGGTGACGTGGGAAGGGTGGGTGAGATGGGGACTGCGAGGTGGATGGAGAACTGGCTGGATGGCAGAGCTCAGAGGGTCGTGATGAGCGGTGCAGGGTCTGGTTGGAGGCCTGTGGCTAGCGGTGGTCCCCAGGGCTCTGTGCTGGGACCGGTCTTGTTCCCCAGCGAGCTGGCTGAGGGGATGGCAGGTTTGCCTGTGCCACAAAGGTGGGAGGAGTGGCTGACACACAGGAGGGTCGTGCCACTAGCCAGCAGGACCGGGCCAGGCTGGAGAGTTGGGTGGAGAGGAACCTCCTGAAGTTCAACAAGGGTTGAACCTCCTGCAGCTGGGGAGGAATAACCCCTGCTGCAATGCTGCTCTGAGAGAGGGACCTGGGGGGCGACAGGTTGCCCAGGAGCCAGCCTTGTGGCCAGGAAGGCCAATGGTCTCCTGGGGTGGCTGGCAGGTGGAGGGAGGTCATCCTCCGCCTCTGTTCTGCCCTGGTGTGAGGCCACAGCTGGAGCACTGTGTCCAGTTTTGGGCTCCCCAGTTCAGGGAAGGTGGGGAAGTGCTGGAGAGGGTCCAGCGGAGGCTCCGGAAGATGCGCGGGGGACTGGAGCGCCTCTCTGCTGAGGAAAGGCGGAGAGACCTGTGGCTGCCCTGGAGAAGAGAAGGCTGAGTGGGGATCTCATTGTCCACTTGATCTGAAAGGTCTCTTCCAACAATAACGATTCGATGATCCTGTTTGGATATTGGGAACAATTTCATCCCGGGAGATGCGCAGACGTGGCGCTGAGGGACGGGGTTTGGTGGTGGAGCTGGCAGTGATGGGTCAACGGGCAGACTTGGACATCTTTGGGGTCTTTGCCGCCCGAAACAATTCTGTGATCAATGCTGATCAATAGCTACAGGGCGGGTGGCAAGAGGATGGGGTCGGGCTCTTCGGCGGTGACGGGACAAGGGGTGACAGCCACAAACGAACATGGGGAAACGAGGAAGATTCCACTCTGAGGGCGCCGGCGCTGGAAGAGACACACACGAGAGGCGATGGAGACGCGG